TAAGTCTGCAGGTTTATGACACTAGAAATCTTATTTTAGACAAACACTCATACGTTTACAGTATAAACCTGTAGAGCCCCTTCATTCTACCATTAACTGTCTTTTTGATTTTCTAAAATATTTGTTGAATAGCTGGAGTTATTTAGATTCGTGATTAATGAAAGGTTATCTTCCTTTAGATGTAACTGTAAAAAACGCCTATATAAACTGCAACTTTGCACGTATGTCCCCATAAACCTAATGAACCTCCACACCAAGTTCGCTGTAGATCCATCCACACTTTGCGGAATAGTTACATAGACATACAACAAACAGTACTGTTGTATTTACATAGATTGGATTTATTTTATTTAAACTGCCATAAGACATGTAGGTGCTTAACTAAGATACGATGATATATATAGAGGGATACGTGCGAACATTTTATTAATGGCTGGTTACATCACGTATATAGAGGGATACGAGCGAACATTTTATTAATGGCTGGTTACATCACGTATATAGAGAGATACGAGCGAACAATTTATTAGTGGCTGGTTACATCACGTATATAGAGGGATACGTGCGAACATTTTATTAATGGCTGGTTACATCACGTATATATATATAAAGGTACGTGCGAACATTTTATTAGTGGCTGGTTACATCACGTATACAGAGAGATAAGAGCGAACATTTTATTAGTGGCTGGTCACATCACGTATATATAGAGATACGAGCGAACATTTTATTAGTGGCTGGTTACATCACGTATATAGAGGGATACGTGCGAATATTTTATTAATGGCTGGTTACATCACGTATATATATATAAAGGTACGTGCGAACATTTTATTAGTGGCTGGTTACATCACGTATACAGAGAGATAAGAGCGAACATTTTATTACCGGCTGGTCTTATCACGGATATAGAGATACGTGCGAACATTTTATTAGTGGCTGGTCTTATCACGTATATAGAGATACGAGCGAACATTTTATTAGTGGCTGGTCACATCACGTATATAGAGAGATACGTGCGAACATTTTATTAGTGACTGGTTACATCACGTATATATAGAGATACGAGCGAACATTTTATTACCGGCTGGTCTTATTATGTATATAGAGAGATACGTGCGAACATTTTATTAGTAGCTTGTGTATTTATATAGGAACGTGTGCACCAACTGTGACCGCTAAGTCCAAGGTATTATCTGTTGTAACAAGCTGGTTGCCTAAGACAGTGGTAGATTTTGTGATCCAACAAAAACAGAACCGCCCCGACTGCCTACACATAATTTTCCTCCATCAATTGTTATTCGAGGTGCAAGTTAACCACACTAATGTCACCAACTGTGTCCCCACCCTGGGGACAAGTAAGATAAGGGCTGAGGAGAAACTGCCAGTAACAAATTATAGAAAAACTGAGGATGAAGGTACAGAACTATATACTAGAATTAACTTTAAACTTATTACATGTGAGTGTACTGGGTTTTATACCCAGATGTAGGGTTTAAATTTAAACTTATTACATGTGAGTGTACTGGGTTTTGTACCCAGATGTAGGGTTTAAATTTAAACTTATTACATGTGAGTGTACTGGGTTTTATACCCAGTTGTAGGGTTTAACTTTAAACTTATAACAGGTGAGTGTATTGGGTTTCAGACCCAGTTGTAGGGTTTAACTTTAAACTTATAACATGTGAGTGTACTGGGTTTCAGACCCAGTTGTAGGGTTTAACTTTAAACTTATAACATGTGAGTGTACTGGGTTTCAGACCCAGTTGTAGGGTTTAACTTTAAACTGATAACATGTGAGTGTGTGCTGGTATTTTGTGTTAATTCAGTTTTGATGTAGTTATTATTTTTATGCCACTATCTACATAAAAGCTCCATTGACATTCCAGGTATTTGAAGTTATATGCCGACTTGTCTTTGTTAATTGTCTTTCCCTTATGAGCAAAATGGTTAGTAAATAGATCTTGTTAGTTGTCTATGGAAAAGGGTTAGTAAATAGGGTTAGTAAACAATTCTTATTTTTTTTCCTGCAGCCACTCCTCTCTCGGTACCAGCTAACCCTAGAACCGAAACCCGTTCCGACCACACCCACTGAAAAACACTGCATAGCGTAAATGGAGAAAGATATTTACAAACTAGAGAAAATGTGTGTGCTAATTCACGCACACACACACACACATCAATAACAAACTGCCCGACATCTTAATACATATTAATTCATAAACAAGTACTCCATGTTATAGAAACTATGAACCAACAGAGACTAAATGATATTCTGTTGAAGCTATGAACCAACAGAGACTAAATGATGTTCTGTTGAAGCTATGAACCAACAGAGACTAAATGAATATTCTGTTGAAGCTATGAACCAACAGAGACTAAATGATGTTCTGTTGAAGCTATGAACCAACAGAGACTAAATGATATTCTGTTGAAGCTATGAACCAACAGAGACTAAATGATATTCTGTTGAAGCTATGAACCAACAGAGACTAA